AGTAAATTGGATCTTTGGTTTATTCAGAACCTATATAGGTAATATATATAACTATATATTTTGTTTACGAATAAATACAAGTTGATCTTTCATTATTTTTGTTCTCTTTCTAGAATATTTTTCTCCTTGAAAATTACTAACTCTATAATAAGTAACAGTCATTAATAAAGAAGCATGGTGAGAATATTATCCATTTATGAATAAGATAACATTTGTCTTTATTTTAATTTCTTCAACTTTATTTTTTACTTAAGTAATATCAATTCATAATTTTTGTGATGAATTGCCAGAGCAATTTTTAACTAAATTATCTCTTGGTAGTTTTAAAAAACAAGTTAATTGCAATAGTATCATTTAACATGCATATTGATACAAGGATTTTTTCATACTTTATGTAATATTTGAATTATTATTCCAATTTCTAAATAGTAAATTGATTGTATTGTCAGTTCCTTTCTTTTCTTACTCTAAACTGATTGTTTTTACCCTATTTTTTAAATCTTTCTTTTTATTGCTGATATACATAAACTTTGTTGCATAGTTCTTTTTAATGAGATACTTTTAAGCTATCTATTATATCATGTAGGAAACAAAGATATAAAGAAAATGGATTAGTTTTGATTAAATAGCCGTATCAATATACCTGGAGCTTCTTAAGGTAATAATAATAGATATTTAGTCGAATTAAAAATTACACATTTTGTCCACTTGAAGAATGTTACTTTTAAGAAACAAGGTTTTTGTAAACTTTCAAAATAACTCTTGACCATCTGTACGAAAACTACCTGCTAGTGACTAACATGATACTTAGTGAGAGAACTTTTGTACTTCTTAATGCATTGTAATTGTATATTCTTTACATTAGCTTACCACCTTGAAAGATGTTATTGAGATTAAATAGATTTTGTTACATGTTCAAGAATATCAGAGAATGATTTACTTGTGTTGCTAATTTCCAACCTGATAAAAAAATGATATTATCTTATTAATATTGAAAGAATAGCAATAGTAATTGCTCTAAATTTTACACCATACTCTCTTTTTCCAAGTTTAATCTTGAAAAATAAATCTTCACTTTTTTGTCATAATTGTATTTGTATTATTACTATATATGTTACTCAGTTCAGTATATTTGATTACTTTGAGAGCAAATGTTGTATGAAATTTATATATTTATCTCCTGTTCTTTCAATATAAGACATATATATAGCTAGAATTATTAATTAGATCCTCCATATTACATATTCTCTATATGCAATAATAGATGTGATACTATGGTTTATTCTATATTACACCAAAATATTTTAGTTCATTCTTATTCTATAAATACAAATATTATTAATGCGAAACAGTAGTGTCTGTATGCATTTAATGTGTAGATTACATTCTCAAATGTATTCAAAAATGATTAGATTAACACCGCTAACATATTCAAAAAACACCTGATTATAGGGGTGTTGTGACGGAAGTGATTATTGGCACGAATATTCTTATCAGTTATCCATCAGATTCTAACTAAATGATGTTTCAATAGTAATAGTATGCTATATATTTAATTTAATAATTAATAAAAACAACTTAATAAAATGTAAGTTCATGTATAATATCAGTACAGACTTTATAACATATTAAATGAGATACTGTTGAAAAAAGTTTAGAGATATCTCTATCAAAATAATTTCACCATACTAAATAACTGAAAAGATTGAAAAAAATTACATCAATGAAGACTCAGGTATAAATTAAAAGAACTAAGAAATATGGGTTGATACTAAAATATCTCTGACATTCTACTAAAATTGAATGTCTCATAATAAATAGATAGGTCAATTAGATTTTAGCAAATACAAATCTCTATTAAAATAAAGAGCCTTTATTGCTTACTTATTAATAAATTTAACCAAGATAAATTGATAAAAAAATTGTCACCTATAAAAGAGAAAAGCTAAATATAAATATATATAAAATCAATAGTTTTTTCATATCATGTCTTTATCCTTTATATGCTTTTTATATATTGTACCACAGAAGAAAATAGAAGTAGTTTACTATAACTTTCTACACTGTAAGTGTATACTAGTTATAATTAAGATTGTATACTACATATTAAATATGTAAGAACGTTAACCCTTAATACCAGAACTTTATTTGTATGAAAAAGAACTTTAAAAACTATCAAAAATCAACTCTTTTTTACATTTTGATTCTATTAGTGTTTTTGTATAAAATCTCATGCCAAATAATCTTATTTTTACCCTTTTTGGAACATATCTAAGACTTGCAAATAATTATTTTGTTACATTGAATAAGAAAATTTCCATAACTTGATATATAAATAATCAAAATACATTCTTGAAAAAAATCGAATTTCAAAACTTTCTTAACCTCTTTTTCTATCCCATTTCTTCTTCAGCATTAAGAAAACTTTAATGAAAATACTTCAACAAATTTCAACGTTTTCATTTCCTTAGACAACAAAAAATTATGATCTCTTCGTTATTAATTTTTGAATATTACTTGCTCAATTATTGTATAATAACGGAGAAGATGAATATCATTTAATTTGTAACATTATGACCACTATTCTATTACTGTTTTTTTTTTTTCAAAGAATTTAATTATCTAAACTAAATTTATTATTTATTAATATGTAACTCCTATTTTCTTACTTCCTCATATGATATAGAATAATAATAACCTTAAATCAATTGATAAAAAACCACTGCTCTAACATCGGACAACTAGTAACAGATTTACCAAATATTTCCAAAGAAACTGAGAATTTGACAATGAACCTTACACTCTATTAAAAATTACCAATATTGAAAAGTTGGCCAACAGTAGTGGTGAATCTAGGGAAATTACTGATAATAGTGACCTTTTAGATAAGACATCAAAGAAAATGAGTTTGTTAAGTTTAATTTTATTGATAAATAAAAATTCTCACAACAAATTTTCAACAATTCCAAATCATACTTATGAATTATTAATAGGGGATTAAGTTTTGTAGAAATAGATGCATAAAATACAAACATGCCATCTCCTAGCTTACAGATTAGCTACACTGACTGGTTTTGATAGCACAAATAGAAATGGGAAAACAGTGAAAAAAAACACTCACAATTGCCTAACTTTTATTTTTCGCGAGATAACTGTTGTTATGGATATTTTATGTACTTGTTGTAATATACCAGAAGAAAGAGCTTGTTTGTTTATTTGAACTATTACCTTTTCAGAAATATAATGTTTTCATTCAATACATTATGTGTTCCACATGCAACAATAGTTTTATTATAACAGTTTTTCTTATTAACTCTAGTTAGAATATTTCTATGTAAACTTGTGCAGAAATAGTTAATTATGAATGGAAGTATCTATTAAAAAAATAATGCAGGCTCATTATACTTAACGTAACAATAATGGTCTAACCCTATTAAACTATTTCTTTACTATGCCTTTTGATTAGATTCTTCTTATTTTCAAGAGCATCTAAACGAGAAACACAGAAAAATTTTTACAAGTAAGAGAAACTAAGAAAAAAATAAAAAATGCAATATTCACACCCCTACACTATGCTTTCATAAATATAGAATTGTTGACTTTAACGTTTAAAAAAGAATTATTATACTTAAAAGTTATCTGGTGATATTCTGCACATACAATAAAGCAAAAGATATATTTTAAATTTTCAGAACTGAACTGTCATTTTTTGTACTATTATTATTAAACAATTAAATTCCTATACAGTCAGCTGATATGTAAAAGGTAACAATTAATTTTCCAGATCTCCACTCAAAAAAAAATTTTAATACAACAATGGTGTTTTCTATAATATGTGCAAGTGCTTGAACTATTGTTCAATATTTCCTTTTTAGGTGTCAAAATGGTGGGAAAAATCCCATCTTGTATTTTCTTAATTTTCATAAAAAAAAAGAAAAAAAAACCACAAACCTTGCCCTTCTATACAAAGCACAAAAGAAAATGACATAGTTTAAAGACCTGTCAATTATGAAGTCTCTAAACTTTATAAGGCAAAACTTAAATAAACAGAATATGTTAAGAACACACAAGGCACATTAATTTGAAATGAAATAACTAATTATGCCAAATTCTTAAATGCACATTGTCATTTGTTGCTGAGATGATCGATTTTTGATAATATCAACACACTATAAGTATTTTGTGTTTCTTAGTGGAGTATGTACCTGTCATAACTTAGTACCTTATGTATAAAGTAGTAAAGATACATTCTCAATTTGAAAACTCTATTTCAGCAATTTCATTGGGTGAAGTGCCACTTTTTATGTTTAAGATAGGCAACTAGTTCAAGACAGACAATTGAATAGTGAGAATATAACTATACATGTTTTGTATTTACCTTTAGTAGTAAAACATAGGTAAGAGATATATTCATTGAGTATTCTTATCCACTATTATTGAAAATAATAATTAAAACATACAAGCAAGATACATCCATACTTCCAGATCATGTTCCGCTCCACAACAAATAGAACATTAAATGACTATGTTTTAAGAAAAAACAAAAAGAAAAACTCTTGATCTTTTTGTAAACCCTACAAGAATAGAAAACAATAGTATATGCAGATCTTTTACATCACACTGACATCAGCCTGGAATGGTCGAAATGTACATGCATGATACACACCCACACATATACATTCAGCATAAGGACTTGGATCTTACTAAATGCTCCAGCCTCATTTTTGGTAATTTCTTTAATGATTAATTGTCATATATATTTTACAAAAGACACATATATAAATGTGGGTCTATATCTATTTGTATACAGTCTGCAAATTGATTCTTGTTTTCATTCTCTTTATTTCTGGTTTCTTGTTTTCTGTGTCATTCTTGCTCTCCTGAGTGTTTTCCTAAAATGTCCACAAACAAAAACCAACAAAGAAAAGAAAAAAATAGCTGGATAAGATTATATAACATAAAAAAATATTAGTAACCATTATTCCTTTGTTATTGTTAAAATGCAGACATTAATCTTGTGGTCACTATTAGGATTACTTGTGACCAAAGTAAGTGCCGCTATTACAACTATTTCATTACCAACAACCTTGTCTGGTGATCAAACATTTTCCGATGATATCGTAATTGAATCAGGTGCTACTCTTGCATTAGTATCTGGTTCTTCATATTCCTTCAATGGCAATATTGATGTTAAAGGTTCTTTAGACATTATTGGTGATTCAACAAACGGGTTAACTAGTCTACAATTTGGTTCTACTACAACAATTACAAACAGTGGTAACATCAACATCGAAAATATTAAATCGGCAGGTTCTGCCAGTGATTTTGTTATTGCACCTGCAAGTATTGATAACTCTGGTACATTCACTGTCTCGCAATTAAATGCTGCTGCTACTGTGCCAGGTACTAATTTCACTATAGCTCCAACAGGTTCCTTCATTAACACAGGTACTATTGATTTTGACACAGCTGATAAAGGTGGCACCACAAATGGGTTTTTGTACCTTGGTACTATGACAAATAATGGTATCATCAATTCTGGTGGATTATCTGCATTGCTAGCCGACCAAAGAGCGTATCAACGTAGTAGATACGATATGAAAGGTATTGTCTTCAATAATCCTATAGAAGGTGAAGGTGAAGTCACCGGTAATACTGGGGCTGTAATTTTTCTTAACACAGAAGTTATTGGAGAACAAACTTTTAATGTCCACAATGGTATGTATATTATTAATCCAAAAGTTGTACCAGGTTCCTTTAAAGTTGTGAATTTTATCGGATCAGAATTCGTTTTTTTAAATATAGACTTTAACAAATGGTATGCTGAGGATTTGGGCACCATACCTTACTACCTTCAGACTAATTTTGCAGTAGATGGTCACCGTTACTGGTTTAACTCAAGTTGTACAAATGATTATGCTGAATATGCTCAAGGTAATATTATTGTTACACCATCTGATCCTCTTTACCAATTTTATGGTACTGATATATACATGATGGATATCATAGGTTCTCAATGTCCATGGTTATCTGAACCAATTACAAAGACAACAATTGTTACTACTATAGATTCTATTACCGAGGCTACCACTCTTTCAACTTTAGTAACCTCTACAATTAACCAGTACTTCATTACTGTGTCTGAAAAGATTTATCAAGTTGCAGTACCTCCACTATCTACCACCTACACTACTACTACTGCTGATATTTCTGCTCCAACAACATCTACTTACACTACTACAGTTGTTGATAGCAATGGCTCTTTATCTCCAGAAGTTGTTGTTGTAGTGGTCACCCCATCTCCATCTACCACCTACACCACTACCACAGGCCCGGTTTCTGCCCCAACCACAACCACCTACACAACCACTATTACTGACAGCAATGGCTCTTCATCTCCAGAAGTTGTTGTTGTTGTGATTACTCCATCTCCATCTACCACCTACACTACTACTACTGCGGATATTTCTACCCCAACTACAACTACTTACACCACTACTATCACAGACAGTAACGGCTCTCCATCTCCAGAAGTTGTTGTTGTTGTGATTACTCCATCTCCATCTACCACCTACACTACTACTACTGCAGATATTTCTGCTCCAACTACAACCACCTACATAACCACTATTACTGACAGCAATGGCTCTTCATCTCCAGAAGTTGTTGTTGTAGTGGTCACCCCATCACCATCAACCTCCTACACTACTACTACTGCTGATATTTCTGCTCCAACAACATCTACTTACACTACTACAGTTGTTGATAGCAATGGCTCTTTATCTCCAGAAGTTGTTGTTGTAGTGGTCACCCCATCACCATCGACCTCCTACACTACTACTACTGCGGATATTTCTACCCCAACTACAACTACTTACACCACTACTATCACAGACAGTAACGGCTCTTCATCTCCAGAAGTTGTTGTTGTTGTGATTACTCCATCTCCATCTACCACCTACACTACTACTACTGCTGATATTTCTGCTCCAACTACAACCACCTACATAACTACTATCACAGACAGTAACGGCTCTTCATCCCCAGAGGTTGTTGTTGTTGTGATTACTCCATCTCCATCTACCACCTACACTACTACTACTGCTGATATTTCTGCTCCAACCACAACCACCTACACAACCACTATTACTGATAGCAATGGCTCTTCATCTCCAGAGGTTGTTGTTGTAGTGATTACTCCATCACCATCGACCTCCTACACTACTACCACCGTTCCAGTTTCTGCTCCAACTACAACCACCTACATAACCACTATTACTGACAGCAATGGCTCTTCCTCTCCAGAGGTTGTTGTTGTTGTGATCACCCCATCTCCTAGTGGCCCAACTATCTACACCACTACTACTGCGGATGTTTCTGCTCCAACTACAGCCACCTACACAACCACTGTTACTGATAGCAATGGCTCTTCATCTCCAGAGGTTGTTGTGGTGGTGATTACACCATCTCCAAGTGGTCCAACTATCTACACCACTACTACTGCAGATATTTCTTCTCCAATCACAACTACTTACACAACCACTGTTACTGACAGCAACGGTTCTTCATCTCCAGAGGTTGTTGTTGTTGTGGTCACCCCATCCCCATCTACCACCTACACTACTACCACCATTCCAGTTTCTGCCCCAACCACAACCACCTACACAACCACTGTTACTGATAGCAATGGCTCTTCCTCTCCAGAGGTTGTTGTTGTTGTGATCACCCCATCTCCTAGTGGCCCAACTATCTACACCACTACTACTGCGGATGTTTCTGCTCCAACTACAGCCACCTACACAACCACTGTTACTGATAGCAATGGCTCTTCCTCTCCAGAGGTTGTTGTTGTTGTGATCACCCCATCTCCTAGTGGCCCAACTATCTACACCACTACTACTGCGGATGTTTCTGCTCCAACTACAGCCACCTACACAACCACTGTTACTGATAGCAATGGCTCTTCCTCTCCAGAGGTTGTTGTTGTTGTAATCACCCCATCTCCAAGTGGCCCAACTATCTACACCACTACTACTGCGAATGTCTCTGCCTTGACCACATCTACCTTCACCACCACTATTACTAACAGCAATGGCTCTTCCTCTCCAGAGGTTGTTGTTGTTGTGATCACTCCAGCTCCATCTACCTTATCCACTACTACCACTGGTGCAGTCACTGTCCCAATCACATCTACCTACACAACTGTAGTCACTGACAGTAATGGCTCTTCCTCTACTGAAGTTGTTGTTGTTATAATCACACCATCTCCATTTAGTAGCTTTATGACATCACCAATTTCTGTACCATCTCCTCTCTATGGAAACTCCACTATATCTGGTGAAAAGATTGAATCTACTTTGAGTGGCACTCTAGTTGTTCTGACTACGGTTGTTAATGGAGTTACTATGACTACAACTTATTGTCCAGAACCATCTGCAACTTCTGAAACAAGTATGACTGCTATCATTGGACATAGTTCTATTGAATCTGTTTATTCAAAGAACCAACAAGAAGAGACCAACTCACTTTCTGCTGCTTCCAACGCAACTCCAGTTATTTCTGTTACTTCTACTACCCCTGGTCCAGCATTTACCAATGGTAAAAATCACCCAACATCTAGAAACTCTAGAACATCTACCACTGTAATCGGTAATAATGAGTCTAGAAGATCAGAAACATCGATGCCTTCAATGGTGCCACAAGTTTCCCAATATATTCCTGAACAGCCATCCTCATCATCAATTGCTATCACAGTACCTCATGAAGGTGTACCTTCTCTTGTATCATATGAAGGTAAAGGTAGCACCATGTATATGATGAAGTGGAGTGTTGCCCATTGCATTGGTTTATTATTATTCATGGTAATTTAAATTGATTAAAGGCAAAAAATTTTAAAATAAAGAATTCTAAATAATTTAATAATTAAATATTTCTATATAAGTATATAGTATTCTAATATTTTTTATATTGTGTATTTTTATTATTTATTTGATTTTCAAATATCTTATACAGCACAAATAGATTTACTCATTCCTAATAAACCGATAATATCTTCTCCCAATTTTAAGTAATTTAAATTATTCAATACAATTATACAATCTAATAGTTGCTATATAGACATTTTAATACATGTATGTTTTTGCTACATGTTTTGGCAATTTTTAATAAAGAGATTGTGATTAGGAAATTTACTTCTGTATAAATCGATTGATCATGGTTTAAAGGATGTAAGGTCTTTAAATCTTTTCTAATTAAGAAAAATTGTAATTGTGAAGATTTGATGCTAGTTTAATTCAAAGATCATAATAAAAGGTTTGACACATGTCTTAAAAACAGTTACAATCTTTCTTTACCTGTATTTACTGAAAAGTTAACTAGACAAATGTATTTATTCCCACATTCCTTAATTATTTTCTTTCTGTCCTCTGTATATACAAATACATCCATAGGGAACATATAATACATACATATATACATGGATGTACACTAATTAAATACCACTGTATCTTGCTAAGTCAAATAACTATATATATGTATATTTGTGTTAATATGGTCACTGTTATTAACTCGCTTAAACTTATGGTTATACTTCTATTTCTTTCTTTTTTGTAATATAATATTCAATTGTACGTAAGCTAACATATCCAATAACTATTGTACTCACATGAACAGTAGAGACATACTATAGAATTACTCTAACAATATTTGAAGAAATGGAGATTCCTTTTAGGTAGCAAAGGAAAAAAGGGAAAGAAAGAGAAATAACATGCTATTTCCCAAATGCAGAGAATTGCACACTGATGATATATTATACTTACTCTACATGTTAAGAATATTATACACAAAAATGTAGATACACAGAATTTCGTAATGTACCTTCTTTTGAAAACATATGATATCTCTTTTTGTCTTTTACTGGATGTAGAACTTTCAAGATTTACAAGATACAGGAGAATGTCCCCTCTATATGTGAAAGATATTGTAATAATAATAATAATAATAATTATCCAAGGATTCCGATAATGTGAAAATTTTCTTTTTAAATAAGGAACATGTAAAACTATCATAACACAGTCGTATTTTTGCAAATGTTAATTCATAAATATAGTATGTCTTGTTATTTTAATGTTATAATGGAATTAAATTCTTATTTTTTTTTTTTTTGAATTTCAATAACTTCTCATCATTCTTTGTTGCAGTTAGAGATCCATATACAGTATTAGACATCCAGTCATAATAATGTCAGACTAATTCTTAAAGAAAGTAGATTTTCTGAATAGTAAATTGAAAGATTAACATGTTAATACTCCACCATAGTATATTCTTAAATGTTGTTCAATGTTCAAAGATCGAGATAAAATCTCTTTTTATTACGTTATTTTTCAAACATTAAAATAAGATCATCTGAATAAAAGACACAACAAAAATTATTGAACAGGGAAAGTAGTACAGTAGAATGAAATAAAGATATAATCAAAATATTATTCATTATATCAAATCAATTTGTCTTTTATCATTATTACCATAAGCATTGAAAATCAACCATAAATCAAATCCATGTATAATAGATTGGAATTAGTAAGGATAAATATCCTGTAAGATATGAGTAAAAAGATGATATAGTAAATTTGTTTATGGATATAGCATAATTGTATTTATGTTTATAACAGTTATCATTATGTGTTAATTTCAAAAGAGTATTGCATATGATCATAAATTATTATAACACTATCATTCGATGGATAATGAAGTGATATAGAAGATATAATTATATTTTTCATATTGAAAATATTAGTAAGGGATAGTGTTCATGTGTTATTGGAGAATTCTTAAATAGTCATATTTATTATGAAAGTAGTAGTATAACAGTAAATGAAAGTGGTATTTAATAAATAGTTTCCCTAGTTACAATATATGTATGGAGTAAGTTCTTTTGAGAATATTCTCTATAGCTACTTATGAATGATTATTAAGTATACAGTGGTGTAACTATACCATCTTAAATAGTGGTTTAGCAATGTTCAAAGTTATACCATATAGTAAGCATATCGTAACTGTTTATTTATGGTTATATGGATCTGTATTTTATATGGTTGTCGATGAGTGTGGCTATTATTGTTGTTAATTTTTTTTTCGAACTATTTTTTCAAATTTTGAAAAAAGGAAAATTGACAATTGAAATTTGAATGAAATGAGATTGGTGGATAATGAAGAGATCATGATAGCTGATGCTAAGAGTAATTAAGTGTGATGTGTTTGTGTAGTATCATTCTTGTCTAAGACGTAATATCAAGAGAAGTTGTATATTAACAAAGAGTTCATAGTTTAAGAGTGATACCATACAATCTACCAGTTATTAATGTCTAAATGAAGTAAGCAGTTTAAGAATAAAAACATAATTGAAAGTAATAGTGGTTGATATGAACTTAGTCTACTATGTATAAATCCATAGTAAAGATACATGTTAATATCATGATAGCAGATACTGTGAATAACATTGAATGTTATAGGTTTAAAAGAGCAATAAAATTTACTAGATGATATCACTATAATAAACATAAAAATGTGACCGTAAATATAAGATGTGATAGAGTAACCATTGATGAATCAGATTAATCCAGTGTATTATGTTTATGTTGTTTACATTGTTTCTATATCTTACACATGAAAAGAGAATGGTCAAAATTCATTGACTTATTTATCACAAAATAAATAACTCTATCGTTGTTATTTTTATTCATTCGAAAATTGTGGTTCACTCATATTTTGTAATTTAAAGAAAGAGATAGTGATATATATGTTTCAGAAACTTTTTAGAAAGAGCTCATTGCTTTGTTTACCTTGGTATAGTTGGTGGATTAAATATAAATTGTTCATATAATCATTTGACATGGGAAATAATTTTTGCTCTACTCATGGGAAAAGATATCTTGGACAGTTTTTAGAGAATTATGAGAAATATTCTATGCCTAATAATACAAAATTATTTTCCAGAAAACAAGATCGATTCAAAAACAATCTACATGTTCTATATGCAGTGAAAGCCACAAATTTGAAAAATCTGCTTACGTTTTTCATTTCAAAGAAGACTTTGATAAATAGATTTATGTTAAACACTATACCATCTTTCTACTGTTTATGATCAAGCATTTATCCTATGAAAATATTTAAAATGATATTTAATTTAAATAATCTTAATTGTTTATGGAAATATAGTTTTGTAGATTTAACATTTGGGATTAGAGTCTTAGGGATGCTAATATGGTATCTCCTGAACTATAGTAGACTTAAAGTCTAACGTTGTTATGTTTTAAGTATTTAGTAAATTGGATTTCTCGTTTATTGAAAACCCATGCAAATAGTATATATTGTATTTATTATTAAATACATATTGATCTTTCACAACTTTACTTCTTTCAAAAAAATTACCAACGATCTACCAAAATCAGTTTTTAACAAAAAAGATCTTGTGAACATACGATATATTGTCTAATTATATTATATTGGACTCAACTATATCATAATCCAATGTTGATAATTATCCCTACGATCTATCAAACTGGATCAAAGACCTCTTTAAGTGAGCTTTGATATAAAATTTCCTACGTGGATTATTTGATAATCGACTACAAAAACTCACACATTCTAATTTGTATTATTGACAACATCATTTCTCTTATCTCATCATGTTTCAGAACATCACACGCGAGGATTAAATAGTTACAACTTAATAAATAAGTACTCATAATGAACCTTTAGAGCCTAGCATAATTTTTCCATATTTGTAAGTTAGACAATCAACAAATATTATTATTGTTGTTTATTTATTAAAACAGGTCTCTTAGCACTGTGGTTTGAAATATAAATAAAGATCACTTCTCTGGAGAACTTGTAACAACTCTTTATTTATATATAATTACAACTGTAGATATTTATAAGTTTTTGTAATGTTTTGGGTCGATCTTCTCATCACAAGATTGTATATTAAGGTATTCATGAAATCGGATATCTTGCTTCAATACTATTTACAAAACGTGAGGAATTAATACTAGCTAAATAGATATAAACAGAATATAAACAACACCCTAATACTTTTGATTCTCAAAAAACTTGTGTTTTAACAACAATACAGCCAAAACAGCATAAATTAACATATTCAAGACCTCAAGAACTATAAATATACGAAGGATTGATATGACATTTTCCAAACTTTCATGATGATTAAACCAAATGCAAGAATATTATTGATAAAGTATTGTCAAAAAAACATAAAAGAAAAATCAAATATTCCCCATCATACCACTTTAAAAGTGTTCTTAGAAACAATTCAAAAAACAAATAAATACAACAGTAATATAATCATAGATTCATAAAAACGAATAGGTTCTTTCTGTTTTGTCTTATCCTTGTAGAAAAAAAAGATTGATAAAATGATTATCTAATGGTTGCTATTTTGTTTATTGACGTCTAATACAAGATTTTACAAAATATATTATCGATTGTCACGCGTCTGCAAATACTTTCATGTAATAGAACTTATCCTAATGTTAACGTAATAATTTTGTTGTTAATAAGATCCATAGGGATATAAGTAATTTATAAGATGATGTATTGTCGTGATAATGAAATACATTCACAGATATCTTTATACATTCATGTTGGGGATGATATCCGAAGGTAATTCTTACTATAGAATAAGACCAGCAACAACAAGTTAAAAACTATATCTGAGTATAAGTAAGAGTGTTTGTATAACTAATACAGAAATTATATCAATTACAGAAAATGAATTCTTTGACAATTACCCATATACAATTCATATTTTTATTCTCAAGAGTACTATGGTATAGTTCATTTGAAAAAGTTATGA